GCAATATAAAAAATGTATAAAAATGTATAAATAAGCGGTATAATTGTAGTGCAAAGTAAAAATATAAGGTGCAGTGAACAGATTATGTAAAAACATATAATAATAACAATATATGGAAACCTTCATAAGTAAAATGCTACTAAATGTGTCTTAAACATAAAACACAAAAAATATCATACTCTAGATCCATCTCTTATCCCAGTTTAGCTACTGTTCTGTCCAGTCCGCACAATCTGCGCCGCTGCGCTCTTTACCTTTTTGTCCTCACTCAGACGCCGTACTATGCACACCTCTGATTGGTCAGTCCGTGTGTAATAGTTCAGACGACGTCCATCGGGTGAGTGAAATGCTACCAAACTGCTCATAACAATTAAAAAAAAGCAAAACGTCCCCATGTGCAGCGCAGTCCGCTTTAAGTCTAATCAGCGTATATAAAGTATTTACAAAGATAACGACCCTCTCGCACTATTAAGCGCAAACACATTCATTAAAGAGTTGGAAGTTAGCCGGTGAGCTACACCGACGAGCTATCTGCTAACGCTACTTGTCAACACAGCATTAGGCTAACGTTACTTTACTACGTTAGTGTTTGGTCAAATCAGAAACACTGCTATCTTATATGTTGTTACACGAGATTTTTAAAGAAACCCCTCCTGTTAGATTGAACGCCGTCGAGCATGTGTTAGCTGGAGTTATGCTAATGTTGCTAGTTGAAGTGAGCTGCAACCATCACATGTGCTCTTTTATTCTTTCAGATCAAAGTCAAGATGAGTCTGAGAAAGCAAACCCCGAGTGACTTTTTGAAGCAGATAATTGGGAGACCTGTGGTCGTCAAACTGAACTCTGGTGTCGATTACAGAGGTAATGACAGCTCAACCTATTGTTTCCCTTATGTCGTTTGAAAAAGAATGGTTTCTTTATTCAGAACTCTGCACACATATATATATATGTTCTGTCTGCAGGTGTCCTGGCCTGCCTGGATGGATACATGAACATTGCCATAGAGCAGACTGAAGAGTATGTCAATGGGCAGCTCAAGAACAAGTACGGGGACGCTTTCCTAAGAGGAAACAATGGTAAGATTCTCCCATTTTACAGATGTTTAGGCACCGCTGGAGGCAGTGCATGGTTCTTGTCGTCATCATTACATGTATATAATCCCAGATGAGGGACTCAGGTTGTGGTCGTGTTCTGAATAGGTGTTGGAGTAGTTGGCTCTTTTAAAAAAATTAAGATAACTTACTAGGGAGGTCTGGTTTATGCTCTCTCCGAGGAATGTTTGCAGACACAGATGTCCAACTTCGTCCATGTGTATATCCAAGACGTGTGTATGGTTTTGTTCTCTACAAGAAAACCGAAAGGAAGCCAAGTTATAAGCTGTATTCTGTGCTTGCAGAGACAGGACAACAGAGATTTATTTAAATTGGAAAAGTGCAATGGCTGAATATTACCTGGTCTTTTAAACAAGGTTATACCAAGTTAAGAACACCTATTATTTGAGCAGTTTAATTCAGTTTTTACATACAGCCCAGGAGGGTTTATTGTACCCCATTAATTTAGTCCTGGTTTACACATCAAGTTTCTAACATAGGCCTTTTTGCACAGCAGTAGTGATGATGGGAATTCAGCTCTTTTTACTGAGCCAGATCATTTGGCCCAATTCAGCAGAAAGAGCTGTTTCCAAACCGCTCTTCATCCGTACCGCTTCTGGTATTTATAATTTAGCCAAATGTATCAATGTTTTGACTAATGATTGGTATTTGAGCACATACATCACTTAAATTATTCAGTTTAATTATACTAAACCCTGTAAATTACAGAATACCACAATCTACATTGTTCTGAAAACTTTACATAATGGAAAAACATCTGTTACACATGTGCACTGGATGTTTTATTTATATTGAACTCTCTTATTAATACCATAGAGAGACATTTCTGGGTGATGTTATACAAATACTAGGAGTGTCCCCTTATTATGTCTTGTATTAATTTCTAAAGGGGAACAAAATAAAGATAGAGGCACAGGAGGCGGACAGGGACCGGCTCCCATCGTTGACATAAAAGGAGCCGGTACATAAAGCAGACTCGTCCACGGCCGACACATCAAAACACAGCAGACATTTTGATTTGTCATGGTAGAAAAAGCACAGCTGTTACTAACAGCATTAAAGAGTGCTCTGCTCTCTCCAGGTGTCCCAGTGTGAAATTGAAATAACTTTATCCTTAAGAGATTTTAGTTTTTTTTTTTTTTTTAATCACTGAAGTACCCGTTACATGTGGGTATTTTACTGGCAGCTCAGTCGAATGGTGTTGTGGGCAAAGATATCCCAGGAAGGGTGTTAAATAGAAAGGAAATACTTAAAAGGATGCCGGCTAACAAAACCGTTGAATTTTCCAACAAGCAAAACAGTCATATGACACACAAAGACCTGACGGGTAAATCAACCCTCAGATATATTGTATTCTGGTGTTCACTTGTTTTTTTTGTTTTTTTTTCAAGTCTGAAGATTTATGAAACAGGAATATTGATTATGTGGGAAGCTTAAAGCAACCGACATTGGGATCTCTCCTCCCTTTTTTTCTTTTTTTGTTTTGTCTGCTGTCAATCTTTGATGAATACATAATTGAAGTAAATGTCTTATAATAAGCACTTTTTCACCAACTGCTTGAAGAATCAGTTTTTTGAGCTTAAGTCTACGTCTTCATACCTTTTGTCTAGATTTTCCTTACACCAACCAGGTATTGTATTCACTGTGTGATTCCCTCTTGAATGTGAGTCATGCTGGCCAGTGTGAGTTCTCAGTGAGATAAAAGGGCCAACAGCCAAAGAGATGGGGCTATTTTAGTCAAAACAGAGCCGGTTGATAAAAGTAGATTTACATAAAACTAACAATTGGTTCACCTGACTGCTTTTCCATGCAGTCTGCAGCCTTACACCCCTACCCTGAATAACCAACGCAAAAAACATTCTTAGCATTTATCTCTGGGATGAGAAATGTGGCTGTTACTGTCACAGTGACAGCTGGTGAGTCAGTGTTTCCCACAGAGAATTTACTTGGGGTTTACAATGGGAAGTAAAGGGTGGAATGACTGCAAACACCATTGACCACCAAGAGTCTGAGAATCTGCAAAGAACATTTTATTCACAAGCCAACAATAATTTCCATGTGAATGCACCATTGCAGCTGACTTTTCACCCAAATATATTTGTGACAACACACTATGAATTGTGAGTTGTAGTGACTAATCAGACTTTTTACTGCTCTTTTCCACTTTCTCCTTTTGACATTACGTCACAGGACATCCAGTTTACTCAGTGTTTTATAACTTACATTTTAGATCTTGACATTCTCAGTCATTTATGACATGGCCTCATATGATCAGATGTCATTGAGTTGCTTGTGTGTGTCAAAAAACAACAATTTCCCCATTGGGGATTAATAAAGTTAATTTTCTTTAGAACAGGGGGTCTCAAAACTGAAATGGGTTTGGGTCCAGTGCTTGTATTGTCATCTCATAGGAAGGACACTACAATGTTGAAGTACTACAACAAAGGGCAATATTCTGAAACCATTTCTATTACTAACATAATACTTAAAAAATACAAACAGCAGTTCTATACATTTTATAACATGGTCTTTGTTGTTTGCAACCAAACAACAAATTACATTTTTGAAAATCCTTGTTCTATAAACTACAAACTTTTTAATGTTCCTTCTTTGTGTTTCTCTCTCTCCACAGTCCTGTACATCAGCACCCAGAAGAGGAAAGTGTAGTGAAGATGATTCTGTTGTTTCATTTTTATTTTCCAGTGTTGTGTCAGTGATATGTCAGTGGACAACTGCCCTATGTTTTTGGTTCTGTAAAGCCTGAAGTCCTGAAGAATGTTTGTTTTTGTAAAAGTGGAATATGTTAATAAATCCTGAGTTTTGATTTATATCTGATTTGGTGAACATTATTTACACATTTTGGTGTTGAACATCACAGGGGAAAAGACAGAACCCTTTTTTCTATTCTCAATTGTTATGTATATGTAAATGTAGCGTTTGAAGTAACAGTATTATTTCAATGGGCCTAATTTAAAAAAAGATTGGCATTCTTCTGAGGAGTTGTAGTTCATATTCTAATATCTTGTGATTTAATTCTTGAATATATCAGGCTTCTCAACTGCCTGTGGGATTGAAGCAGTGGAATAAAGATGGGCATTTTTTGGCTAAATCATTCACTCAAAGTTTATCCCTGGAGCAAGCAAATCTACCACTGTTTTACCACAAGGCTTAAAAAGGATTAGAACATAATTTTGTAATTTGTCAGCACTAATGTGCTAATTTTGTAATTGATCTTGATACGACTTGCCTGCAGAAACCCATTACTGAATGGTCTGTGTACAAATGTAGTCATCATTCTGCATTTACTTTATATTATAGGTAACTTGATGAACGGCTGTTTATACAACTCAAAATAAAATGAATGTTTCACATATAAGAGAAACATATTTCCTGCTTGAAAGCTCAACTTTTTACTGAAAGTATTCCCACATCTTTATGTGATGAATCCACTTGATATCTTTGTACTTATGGAGTGTTTGTTTTAATACAGTAATGTACCTGCATCTGCAACTTTGCTGGTATCCAGTGAAGTAAACTATAAGAGCATTAGACTGCATGATGGAGTACCCATGCATACAAAAGTAACTTGTTGCTTGTCTTAATGCAGTATTATGGAACAATTCAATATGTAACTGTACAAGGAAATTCTTCCCTTACTGGCCATTTAAATATCCATTACTGAATGACACAAAAAAAGTGTGTCTGCAGGACCAATCTATAAATGGTGCCACCTGCAGGCTACGTCAGGCTGCATTAACATGTAAACAGAACTGTCAGATTGACTCCCACTGCCCTCTGCAGCAGACTTCCATGTTTCAGTGCTTTTAAATGTCTCAGAACTTACATTTTGTTATCCGTGACTGCACATAGATGCTCTTTGTTCATACGTTGGGTCTAGATTGGCTCCGCCGCCTCCATTGACAGTTGCCCCCGTGAAAATGAATGCAGAAGCATATGCAAGGAATTGGAAGTTTATTCCATTTCAGTGTGGCCTGTGGTAATTTAGCAAATGAGTTCAAAAGTGGCATCACCTCATTACGCTAAGATAAGAACGCTATAAATATATGATTCATTAGGCTCTTAATGAGAATGCTGTAGTGTGGAGGCAGTGAGGGGAATTCTTTTCCTTCCAAGGGTGGATTTTTGAGAGCCTTGTTTTCCAACCTGTACATGCGCACTCTGGCCCCTGGAAGGAGACAAAAGGCTGCCAAGGTCAGGCCCGACTTGAGAATGAAGGACGCGTTATTGATCAAACTCTGCCGAGCTGCAGCTGTGGAGAGGGAATGTTGGGGGGGATTGAGCTGCAACACAGACACACACACACACAAGGCAGACATAGGCATTGAGTGATGTGTACACAGAAACGCATTGTACACAGTGAAACACACAAAGAATCATTATGGCACCTAGTGAGGGTTAGTACAGGCAAATATTTACCTACTGGAATCATAACTGAGCCGCTGGCTGTGTGGCCTTGCAGGGAACCCAATTAATACCATTCACACAAATGACCTAGTGGCAGACATCATACTATTGAACAATGCGCTTTAAAAAAAATAAAAACCCACTTAACTGATGCAGTCACTTTTCATTTTGCATGTGCATGTCTGTGTCAACATCTGAGTATTGATTTTTGCCTCACAATCCTTTTTCAAACCTACATTTTTTTCTTTTGGATCATTGAACTAATGTGCACGATGAATGTGAAAAAGGACCCTCTTTTTATTTAATGTAGTTTGTTTCAAGATGCCTTTTCCTCTTGTCTGGCGTAGTTTGTTTAGGGCACTGGTCCCCCCACCTCACCCCATCAAAGCAGACTGGCTTAGGGGCAGGCGGAGGATGCTGCAGTGGCTCAGCGTTGACGTATGGAGGTGAGTGATGGAGGGGAGAGGACAAAGGAGGATAGAATAGGTGACAGCCTTGTTATGTAGGAGAAAAAGCAACGGGGAGACTCAAGTCTTACAGCACCACCAGCTGCCAGAGCTACAAAACTACAGTAGAGTCACAGGAGGGAGGGAGGGAGGGAGGGGGGAGGGAAAGTGGAGTATGACTTTGACCCTGACTGATCACTGCAGCATGACTGTCTAGCCTTTTCACAAGGGATCAAAGGATGACAAGGACAACCTGAAAATCAGTGTGTTTTTATGTTTGGCTGTACCATGTGCTTATTTGGACAAGGACAAATTTCTGTCTTTTTCTATGCAAATCTATTCAGTGTGGATCTTTTCATATGAATGATTTTGGCAGTGTTGACTGAGAGTCTACTACACATTGGGAACATGCATGTATGTTTTTTCTCCCTCTTTTTTTCATCTTGTACACATTCATCTAGCATCTAAGTGAATCACATGTATCATGTATGTGCATAGATGAATGTACGACTGTAGAACGATGTATGGAGTTCGACAAAATATCAAAAAACGGCTTAAATGCAACACAAAACCAACACAAATTACAGCCTAATTGCTTACCATTTGACTTAATCATTACCTCTCTGGCTCAGGTTAACAAAGCATTACTTTATACTATCACTGTATTCACTGCCTATATGTGTGGATGTAAGCAACAATTTGCTTTTGCATGTGTAAAGAAGCCTCCCTCCTCACAGTGTATTGGGATCTGTGCTGTCCTGTGTGAACTTGACCAGCGTTAACCTCTGCCTGACAGCCTGTCATGTGTTTAGGATGTAAATGATGGCAGTGACCTCCCACACTGTGTCTCTGCTCTCACATTCCACAGGCTGGGTCAGAGGTCCTGTTAGGTTAGTGCAGAATAAACAAACACCGTAGTAACTGTGTAACAATGGCAGACTAATCTTAAAAACAGCTGCTACTGATTAATAAACTGAACGCTCATTGTTTGTCTATTAATCCAGTAATCAGTTATGGCCATTACCCTCAAAATAAATCAAGATGAAGTGTGTGTTACTGTGCATTGCTGGTGTTTGGATCCAGAAGGTTCCCTGCTCCACATCTTTGTTTTTCAAGCAACCTAAATCCAAGTTCAACTTTGATAGTTGTTTTGATCCTAATTGAGTGTGAGGGCCTGTGCCGCTCTGCAACCCCTAGGCTCTTTATTTAGCCCAGAGGACAGTCAACCTTGGCCAGAAATGTGACCCTTGACCTTCTTATCTGGAAGAAGCTATTCCCAGCATGGACAGGGCCTTCTGTGATTTATCTTGGCTCCAAATGGCAGCGTGATGCAGATGGTAAGGTTAGGGGAGCATAACTAGGTACCCTTCAGGAGGCCGGAGAGCAGTACTGTTGCACTTGCAGAGCTTTCATGTGTTGTGAAGGCTCTAATGCTGTGAACGAAAACAGACTTACATACAACAGCCAGGAAAACTCTTGCATGGTACAGTAACATGGTCCACGTGACATGGGTCCTTGAACCTTGACCCCAAAAGGGCTCTCCAGCTGTCCCACAACAGCAGGGTCTATTTTGGAAACACACTCGCTTGAAATCTCTTACTAGATGATAACCATATTGTGATGCTGACCATGACCTGACCCACTTAAACCACAATAAGCTGGATGGACGGATGTGAATACAAAGCACATCATCACTATTCTTCTCAACAGGGAAAGTGTTGTTGTGTTTATGTTCTGTATTAGTGGTGTGTCTTGATGATTGAACTTTTTAATTCCTGTTAAAAAAACAAAAAAAAGTGGCATCCTTGACCAACTTCTGTATCCCAAAATGTAAAAACAGAAGCTATTTCTAAATTTGTAATGAGGATTATTTTCTCTATATATATTGGATCTCACCCAGCTGTAGACTTGAGACTGGGACTCGGAAATCAAGTCACAAAAAAAGGGACTTGAGACATGACTTGCGTTTTTACGTTCTGGTATTTGACTTACTTAATACTTCATCATGTGATATAATCGAAAGCTCCAGAACAGCTATTAAATGGACCATGAGGTGAGATTGGTTCGTCAACTGCTGGTTCCATGATTAAAAACTTTACTTTAAAAGTGCTCACAGAAAATTGACTTTAGAATATTTACATTTGTAGATAGGAGCAACTAAACTGACCTTGAGGTGAGATATGTTTTTGTTCAATTCAAGTCTTTGACCTGGTAAAACCTCTGAACAATAAGAAAGACATGGCAGGCCCAGACAGACCTTGCATTGCCACACAGCTTGAATAAGTAATTATTTGGCCTATTCATTGAGAGGACTATGTCTCAACTTTGTGAAAAAGCACACTTAATACAGCTCAAATACATGAGTCATTTGAATAGTAAATATTCAGAGATTTGCAATCAACTTGCAATTTGTTTCACTAAGAATTAAAACCTGACTTAGACTTGACCCAAAATAATTAAAAACATCTTATCACTACTAACGTGTTACTTGTTTGGGGAATATTTGAGGTCTTAAAGTTCCATTCAAAGACTTTCTTAACCTGAGCGACAAATGAACAAAAGACAGAATAATGACATTAAGTGGTGTTGACATGTAATAATTCTTTGATACATAAAATTAATTTAGCTTTTATTCCCAAACACATCATCCACCAAAGGGATGGGCAAAGAAATCAACGGTTATAAAATAATTGGTAGCATAAAATTGAAGGTTGTAGAAGCTTATTGAATGGCCGTCTTGGGGCCTTATCTCACGAAATAGTATATTTAAGAATGAGGTCATCAGTGCTTGTGAGCAATAATTAGTGAATATGAAGTAAACAGACCATGTCAAAGAGCTATTTTCAATCGCCTTTTTGCTTCAGAATGGCTATTGTTTGTCAGCCAAGTCTCACTACTATGCACATGAGATTTGCATGAAATACAAACTAACCCTGCACTCAGGCAATTAGCCTCCA